AAGATACACAAAAAATATTAATGAAATTGGAAAAACTTATTTAAGACTTACATTTTATCTGTTCATTTAATACTTGGGTATACTATCTGGCAAGCACAGAATCCACAGGCTTTGTTTTCATATATCCTGTCTTCCAGGTCCATGGAAACATTTTTTTTTTTAATGAAAAGACACCAAGCTTTTCTTATTAAAGAGAAATCTGAAACCTTAACACTCTTACTTTCATATTTTATGGTAGAGGTTTTATTGGAATATAATTAACATACCAAAATATTTACCCCTTTAGCATTCACAATTTGATGGTTTTAAGTATATCCACAGAGTGGTGTAACCACCAACACTACCTAATTTTAGAATATTTCCCTCATCCTAAAATGAAACCCCATACCTATTGGCATTCACTCCGCATTGGACTCCCCTACCATGCTAGTTCTAGGCAACTTAAAATTTTCTTCCTACCTCTGTGGATTTGACTGCTCCAGACATATCATATAAGAAGGAATCTTATAATACATGGTCTTTTGTGACTGGCTTCTTTCACTTTGGATAATGTTTTTAAGGTTTATCTATGTTGTAGCATGTATAAGAACATCATTTCTTAATTTTTCTTGATTTTCTTGATTTTTAACTTTTATTTTTCAGTTACTTCTTAATTCAATAATATTTTGTATTATTTTGGGGTGTACAGCATAGTGGTTAGACAATTATGTACCTTACAAAGTGTTCCTATATTTCCAATACCCAAATGGTACCATACATAGTTTTTGCAATATTATTGACTAAATTCCCTAAGTTGAACTTTATGTCTCCATGACTATTTTGTAACAACCAATTTGTACTTCTTAATACCTTCACATTTTCACCCAGCCTCCTAACCCCGTTCCCTTCTGACAATTATAAGTTTGTTCTCTGTATCTATGAGTCTGTTTCTATTTTGTGTGTTCATTTATTTTGTTCTTTAGATTCCTCCCACATATAAATGGAGTCATATGGCAATTGTGTTTCTTTCTGACTTATTTCACTTAGCATAATGTTCTCTGGGTCCATCCATGTTGTTGCAAATGATAAGATTTCATTATTTTTTATGGCCAAGTGTATGCCATTGTATATGTGTCTCATATCTTCTTTATTCAATTGTCTACTGAAGGACATTGAGGTTGCTTCCATATTTTGGCTATTGTAAATAATTCTGTGATGAACACATGGATGTATGTATCTTCTCAAATTTGTTTTGGATTTCTTTAGGTAGAATATTATTTCTTTATTGCCGATTAATATTCTTTGTGTGGTATACCACATTTTGTTTTTCCATTCATCAGTTGATGGACATTAGGGTTGTTTTGACCTTTTGACTATTATGAATACTGCTACAAACATTCGTGTGCAAATTTTTGTGTGAACATATATTTTCATTTATCTTGAGTAGATACCTAGGAGTAGAATTGCTGGTTCCTATGGTAACTATATGTTTAGCTTTTTAAGGAACTCTCAATCCATTTTTTAAAGTGACTACACCATTTTACATTTCCACTAATAATGTGCAAGTGTTCAAATTTCTTGACATGCTTACCAATGCTTGTTTTTATCCGTCTTTTTAATGACAGCGATCCTAGTGGGTGTGAAGTGACATTTCATTGTGGTTTTGATTTGCATTTCCCTTATGGAGAAAACCTATTCAAATTCTCTCTCTGTTTTTGAATTAAGAGCTCTTAGTAAAAGTGCCTTATCAAATACATGATTTGTAAATATTTTTTTTCTATGTTGTAGGCTCTCTTTTCACTTTCTGATGATGTCTTTTGAAATACAAAAGTTTATAATTTTGATAGTTCAATTTATCCAATTTTACTTTTGTTGCATATCATTTTGGTGGTGTAGCTAAAAGGGACTTTATGTACTAAAGGTCACGACATTTTATAACTTAACTCTTACATTTAGTTTGTGATTCATTTGAATTAATTTTTGTGTATGTTTTAATATAAGAGTACACCTTCTTTTGCATGTGACTATTTGCTTGGTTCCAGATATTCGTTGAAAATGTTCTTTTATTTCTATTGAATAATGTTGGCACCCTCGTTAAAATGAGTTGCCTATTATTATAAAGGTTTATTTCTGGACTCAGTTCTACTATCTATGTTTCCTATTAGTAGTACCACACCCTCTTACCATAGATTTGTAGTAAGTTTTAATATTTGGAAAAATGAGTCTGCTAGCTTTGTTTTGATTTATTTTTGAGTATTAAATCAACTTCATATTTCTAGGATAAATCTAACTTCATCATGGTGAATAATCCTTTTCATATGTTCATATGTTGCTGGCATCAGTTTCCTTAGATTTTCTTGAGGATTTTTTGAATTTATGTTCATAGGAGATATTGTTCTATAGTTTTCTCTTCTTGTGATATCTGATAGTGACCTTACAGAATGAGTTGGGAAGTATTCCCTCATATTTTTTGGAAAAGTTTTAAAGAATTGGTGTTAATCTTCAAGTGCATTTATTTTGATTTATATGGTTTTCTTTATAATTTACCCTTTGCTATTGTTCAATCGCAGATGGGTCAGGAAGGTGCTATTTGTACTGATCATTCTCTGCGGGGCAGTTGACAGTGAAAGTACAGGACTCCAAATAAAACTATTGACTCTTCCTTCTGCCTTCTTCTAGTAAACAGGGCCCCATAAGTCTATCACTGGGAGACACAGTTAGCAGCAAAAACAAATTATAGGACTTTTATATCTTGAATTCAGAACCACAGTTGGAAGATGCCTTTCAGTGCCATTTTCCTCACCACGGGTGCATGCCCAGCTCACTGTCCCCTCTTTGAGAACACTTATGTGTAACTTGTTACTACAGATTTGTTTAAAACATTATTTAAAGAGCCTATTCAAAAGTGTTACATGAACCTCTTCTTGAAAAAGAGAGTCTGAGAACAGGGAGATTTTGCTAAATCTCAGACATCATGGCAGGTAATATGAATAATAAAAGCTTAGATTGCCTTCCTGCATGTTTCGAAGGACTTTTGGTCATTAATCACTCTACCATTTCAGTGGGAAAAATTAGCACTGAAGAAATAATAACAACTGATGTTTACTGAATAATTACTGTGTGCCAAACCTTGTTTTAAATCCTTTGCATATTCTATCTCTTTTATTCCTCATAGCAATCTAATGCGGTCAATACTAGTACTCCCTTCCACTTCACAGAGGTGGAAACTCAGAAGCAGACAGGTAATCTAAGTGTCTTGGTGTTAGGCAGGTAGAGAATGGTAGAGCCAGGAGCTGATCTAGGTTATGTGACTCTATAACCCCCCTCCAAAGCATAAGTTAGAGCAGATTCAGGCATATTTCACGGCAGGGATTCCAATTCAGGGTTTCTGTCTTATGTCTTGAATTTATTAGTCATTTGTCTTTCTCTTGATAAAGGATAACATACTCAGTCAACATTTAAGAAATATTCGTAAAAGGTGTTCTCAGATGCTGCTAAGGACTTGAGATTACACAGTCTTAATAGGAATAATGTAAGGAACAAGTTAATAAAATAAATATTTAACATTTACTGAGTGCTTACTATGTTCCAAAGTGATTTACTTGTAAAAATTAAATAAATGTGTAAAATAACTCTATGAAGTAGGTATTATTATTATCACCTCCATTTCTAAATGAAACCACTAAGGTGAACATATTTAACTTGCCCAAGGTTAATTAGCAATAACTGGCAGAGCCCAGATTTGAACCCAGAAAGTTTTGCTCCCAGGCCTGTTCCTAATCATTGTTATGCAGTTTCTCTAAGTAAGTTAACAGTTATCTGACATATGGTCACAACAGTACTTTCATACCAAAAAATCAATGATAATGGATTATTGTGTTTATGCATGTGAAAATTGGAGTCAGTTTTATGGGAGAGAAATATATTTTGGCTAAAAGGGGGAGGCAAGCTGTTTTGTAAATATGAGACAATCTGAAACAATTATGAAAAATTATTTTATTTTTAATTTTTATTTATTGATTTTTTTAGAGAGAGAGGAAGAGATGGAGAGATAAACATCTACTTGTTGTTCCACTTATTTATGCATTTATTGGTTGATTCTTGTATGTGCCCTGACTGGGGATTAAACCTGCAATCTTGGCATTTCAGGACTACACTCTAACCAACTGAACTACCCTGGCATTGCCAAGAAAAATTAATTTTAAAAGGGAGGCTCTTAGCTTGTGCTTTGACAGAAGATGGGAATAGATCATACGATGAAGTGTGCACTCAGAAGCTGTGCCTGCCTGGTTCTGAGGGAGTCGTAGTTGGGGAGGGGAAAAAGGGACAGTTGGAAAGAGCAATTTTAGAAAATATGTTTGATAAACTTGATTAGCACATAGACGTTGAATCAATAGATTACTATAAACTTCACTTACAAGTTTCTAGTAATGTAAGAAGCATCTAGAAATTAGCAGGAGAAAGTTGACCTGTTGGGGTAATATTTTTCTCCTTTAGAGCCAAAAGTATAATAGTTTTCTTTTTCTTCTTCTTTTTTTATAGCAGTGCAATTAGGTACTTGGTTTTATTCAGCAGTTTTCTTCATGGGAACACAAACATTTCCTATTGTGCCTCAGTTTTCTGCAAAGTGTTCTACCACCAATTTAAGGGGTGATATTCGGATCTCAGTGTGTCAGTGGGAAGAGAGTAGCCCCAGAGCAAGTCAGTGACGAGAGAACTGGGTGTATCTGGACCAGTTCTTTTCCAGATATGTGGGTCTTCTGGTCTGCAGCCTTGATGGACTTCAGAGCTCCCTTTTTCTCCTGGAACCCATGTGTTTGCCTCTTTTTTACATGAAAAAAAGATGTGAAAAAGATGTTTACTATGTTTACATCAAAAGCAAATGAAACTATTGCCCACTTATCCTATTCCTCATATACAAACAAAAATTGATGAAAGTCGAATGTCAGATACAGACACTTAAAACAATACTTGTGGTTTATTTCTACCTTTAAGGTAACCTGGTGGCTTATTTTCTCAAGCCCTCACACAGGTGTTCAGGAATACCAGGATGGCGTGCCAAAAATCCCCACAGCCTGTATTACTGTGGAAGATGCAGAAATGATGTCAAGAATGGTTTCTCGTGGGAGCAGAATTGTCATTCAGCTGAAGATGGGAGCAAAGAATTATGCAGATGCTGATTCCTTCAACACTGTAGCAGAGATCATTGGTAGCAAGTATCCGGAGCAGGTGAGTGAAAGAGGCAATAGGTTGTCTGGGAATAGGAAGTGGTGTTCAAGGGTTAACATGAGTCTGCAGAGATGGTCCTTGTAGACTCATTAACTGTATACGCTTTAAATATGTACATATATTTATATTTATATATTCATTCCATCAAAAGTTTTACTGCAGTGACTGGAAGAAAGAAGGACTGATTGAAGGGTAGAATAGGATACATGGTGTGGAAATTCAACCTCTGACTAGCTGAGGGCAAAATTGTACATATTTGTTGTATTCATTCCATTTGGAACCAGCTAGGCATTTGAGAACATGTCAATAGCTAATAGTTATTGTGCTTATTATGTGAATTATCTTATTTGGTCCTTTCAAGGTTCGGAAGTAGGACTATTTTTTTTTTTTAATTTCATAGGTAAGGAAACTAACACAGAGGGAAATACTTGCTTAAGGTCCATACAACTAGTAAGTGGCTGAGAAAGGACTCAAACCCAGGACCTTATGAATATTAAATCAAGCTTTAAACTACAGTTTATGTGCAATATTCAGAGCTTTTTTTTAAGTTTGAAAATTAAATAGTCCTAGAGGAAGGTCCAGACTGTATACTAGTTGTAGGTTAAATAACTTTGGCAAGTAACTTACTCTGAGTCTTAGAGAACTATCTGTAAAGAAGAGGATGGTGTATATAAGTAAGGATTAGTGTGAGAGTTAGGTCAGATAATTCAAATCAAATATCCTAGTATGGTGTTTGATACATACCAGGCACTCAATGAATGTGAGTTTACTTTATATGGCATGAAGTGTACAAAAAACATTTTTATAAGGTATCTGTTTCTAATTTACTTTATTGGTAGTTAATGAAATTCTGAAAATAGCTTCATATTATTTTAAGTGTACTATGTAAAATTATCTTCATTTAATAAATTAAAAACAAAGTTATCCAGGAATTTCAGACTTGTATTTTGATTAGGGAGATCAGTTGTATGAAGAAACAGTGAATAGTAATAGAGTTTGGGGATGGAAAAACAACCCTCTGCACATGTCTTGACTCAGGGCCTCTTGCATATTTGTTTTGGGTTCAGGACTCTTTTCTCCTTTCCAAAATTACCTGCTTCCTGGGTTTAGACATGAATCAATTAATCCTGGGGTTGTAGCCACAGGGATAATAGAAGAGCAAGATCTCAGTAGGCCCACAGGGAGTCAAATGGCTAAAGAGAAATTATATTTCAAATACTGAGAAAACAGAGATCCAAGATGGTGGCGGACTAGGTGAATGTTACACTCACCTCTTTCTAGGACCAAACTGAAATTACAACTAAAATATAGCAAAATCAACTAAAATATAGAACAATCAACTGAAGACCAACTGAATAGAAATCTTATAAACAAGAATTTACAGAAGAAGCCACATTGAGACTGGTGGGAAGGGTAGAGATGTGAAAAGGGCTGGTCCTACTCCCACAGGTGGTGGCTGATATTCTGGAGGAAAACTCAGCTGCCAAGGTTCCCCCAAGGAGCTGGGATCTCATCGCCAAGCCAGGATCCCCAGCCCAGACCACCAGAGACAGGAAGAGGTGCACACATTATCTCTGACTGTGATAATCAGTGGGGATTCTGTCTACCAGGAAGACAGAGGAGTCTTCTAGAGACACAGGCATCATCCTAAAGGGCCAACACACAAAATCTTGTTTACATTCCCTCACCGTGTGCTCCAGGCAAGAGAGGGTGGAGTAGAATGAAGTAGAAGGAGGAGAGGCTGGGGTTTGTAGCTCTGGAGAGAGAGCTGAGGAGACAGCTCCTGGGATCCCTGTGCTGAGTCACTCTTCCACACTGCAGACACCACCTTTCTTGGGTGGATCATGCCCCTCCTTATGGCATCAGCTTGGGGGAATGCAATATCCCAACACTCTGGACTCTCTCTCTCACCCCACCCTGTGTAACTTATGCCCTGGGCCATGGCGTAGAGGTCTGTGCAGACCCAGGGGTTGTCAGAGACTGAGTGGTGTGGCTTTGGGGCTGGGGCCATTCCCCTGCTTTCCCATGAACCTCAGTGGCACATCCTCTTCAATGAAGTTCTTCTAGCCCCACTCTCCAGGCTCTAGGTGGTCCCACCATTTTGACTCCTGGTGGCCCTGCCTTGCTAAGGTCGGGGCAGAATCCCAGACAGACTGGGTTGTATGGGTCTGGGTTGAAGGCCACTCCTCTCATGTTCCTCCAAGCCTGACCGGCACCCCTGTCTAATGGAAATCTACTAGCCTCACCCTGTTGACTTCCAGCATCCCCACCCTGTAGAGCTAGAGCTCCGGGCAGAATCTTGGACACACTGAGTTGTCATTTTTTTCCTTGCATGTCTGATCAGTACAGACCCATCCCTTCATGAGGCCAAATCTTGGTCTCTCTGGGCTTAATAAACTCTGCTGGCCTCATTGTGATGACTCCCTGAGATCCTGCCTCACCACAAAGGTCTGCAAGAAACCAGCAGGTGGCAACTAGGACATTTGCTGAGTGGCTCCAGACCAAGCAGTAGCACTGAGTTTAAACCTGTATCAGTCTGGTGAACACCACTTGCCCCTACCTGGTGACTCACTGAGAATCTATCTCTTGCAACTGGAGTACCATCAGAGGGTGCTCTTTCAGTGACTGAGCCTATCAGGCAGCTGACAGGTGGAGGCAGGCAGAGAGATCTCAGGGTGCCATGGGACTTTTGCTGACATGCTCCTGGGCCCAATGCTGGTAAAAGCCAGCCTTAGGGCACAGCTTGGTCCTTCCTGTACATACCCAGGCCCAGCAGAGGCAGTCACAAACTGTGGATCTCTTTGTAGCTCCAAAAAGGTTGCCCAGGGTCAGTCACAGGCACTATTTGACATTATACTGCACCAGAGGCCCTCCCAAGAGTCTGCAGAACCAACACACCCTGTGATCACCTTCAGAAAACAGAGTAGGATCCAATTAGCTTCACAAGCATCATATCCAAAGGGAGATCTCAGCAGGTACCAGACCCTGCTGAGGCAAATTCTGCTTTGTGTGGCCAGCACCTGCACAGTGGCTCATACACTTTGGTCAGAGTTAGTCCTCACAGTCAGCCAACCTGAGGGTTGACCCCATACCTAAACAGGCCAATAGCAATCAAAACTCAATTATAACAGAAGGGCTTATGTAACCCACACAAGGGACATTCCTGGAACACCCAATTCAGGTGATCAAGGAAATTATTCCACTTGGTCCCACAGGACACCTACTACATAAGGACACCCTACCAAGACTAGAGGTCATATCAGATCTACCTATTACATAGACACAAACACAAAGAGACATCCAAAACAAAGAGATGAAGAAACATGCCCCAAATGAAAGAACAGGAGAAATCTCCAGAAAAGGAGCTAAATGAAATGGAGGCAAGCAATTTACCAGCTGTAGCATCCAAAAAAATGGTTATAAGGATGCTCAAGGAACTTAGTAAAAACTTCAACAAAGAGATAGCAAGTATTAAAAAGGAAGTAGGAACCATAAAAAAGAAATAATCAGAGATGAAAAATACAATATCTGAAATAAAGAATATATTAGAGGGAATAATAGTGGGTGTACTTTAAGAAGAAGAGGGAAAAGAAAAAAAAACAGAGGAACATAGTTATAAAGAATAAAATGGCAATAAATATATACCTATCAATAATTACTTTAAATGTAAATAGCTTAAATGCTCCAATCAAAAGATATTGGGTAGCAGAATGGATAAGAAAACAAGACCCATATGCTGTCTACAAGAGACTAACCTCAGAATGAAAGATACACACAGACTAAAAGTAAAGGGTAGGAAAAAGATATTTCATACAAATGGAAATGATAACATAAAAAAGCTGGGATAGAAATACTTATATCAGACAAAATAGACAAAATAAACATCATAATGAAGTCCATAACAATAGACAAAGAAGGACATTACATAATGCTAAAGGGATCAATTCCAACAAGAGCATATAACCCTTGTAAATATTTATGCACCCTACATAGGAGCACCTAAATATATAAAGAAAATCTTGAAGGACATAAAGGTAGGAACGACCGTAATGCAGTCATAGTTTGGGATTTTAGCATCCCATCGACATCATTGATAGATCTTCCAGACAGAAAATCAATAAGGAGACAGTGGCCTTAATAACACACTAGATCAGATGGATTTAATTGATATCTCCAGAGCGTTTTACACCCAAGTAGCAGAGTACACTTTCTTTTCAAGTGTACATGGAACATTTTATAGGATACATCACACGTTAGGACCAAAAAATGAGTCTCAATAAACTTAAGATTGAAATCATATCAAGTATCTTCTCTGACCATAATGATATGAAACTAGAATAATCAATCGCAAGAAAAAAAACCCCTGAATAACACAAACATGTGAAAACTAAATAACATGTTACTAAATAAAGAATGGGTTAAGAATGAGATCAAGAGAGAAATCAAAAGATACCTGGAAACAAATGAAAATAGGAACACAACCCAAAATCTAGTGGACACAGTGAAAGCAGTCCAAACAGGGAAATTCAGCATTACAGACCTACCTCAAGAAACAAGAAAGCTCTCAAATAAACAATTTAATTCTACACTTAAAGGAACTAGAAAAAGAAGAAGAACAAATAAAGCCCAAAGTGAGTAGAAGGAAGTCAATAATTATCAGAACAGATATAAATGAAATAAAGTCTAAAAAAATAATAGAAAAGATTATTGAAACCAAGGGCTTATTCTTTGAAAAGATCAGTGAGACCAACAAATCTTTAACCAGGCTCATCAAGAAAAAGAGGGAAATCCCAAATAAGTAAAATCAGAAATGAAAGAGAAGTAACAGCTGGTTCCACAGAAATATGAGGGAATTGTAAGAAAACAACTATATGCCAACAAACTGGACAATCTGGATCTAATGGATAAATTCCTATAAACATACAATCTTTCAAAATTGAATCAGAAAGAATCAGAAAGTCTGAATAGACCAATTACAACTAATGAAATTGAAGCAGTGA